AGACGGGTTCCGGGAAGAGATCCCCGTCGACTAAACACCTTCCTCTGTCATGAAAACCTGGCCGACCACAACCTAGAGAGGTTGAGGCTAGCATTGCCTATGACAGAGGGCCGGGTCGTTACGCCTCGGCCGCCGACGCGCGTCATTCCGACATTCAACCTTCTCACAGTTGATCCGGCAATACCTGGGCCCGGAGGTTTGATCTTCATCATCGTCGCTGTCTCGGCATATGTTTCCTCTGGGGCCACGTTAATAAAGTTAGATAGCGGAATTTCCGGTCGTTGAATTTTTTCATCAAACGAATTTGAAAGGTTAGGAGTTCTCAACTCGGACACAGTAATCGTAAAGAATTGCCTCACGTGTCGATCGAAATAATTTTTGTAATTCTAGTTTATCTCCGGCAAACTGCTTCTCATATACAGGAGAAGGGAAAAAACAGAAGCCATTATAAGAGTTTTGGGGGTCGGAGGGGAAGAAAGAGAAGGGGCATGAGATAAGGATTGAAGATTATACGCTTTATGTAGACGGAGGAAAGACGTTTCGAAAAGCGGAAAAGACGCCTCGAAATCGGCCGTACGTTCTATTATTCCAACTGTCAGCGGTTTCAAAATTTCAAAAATTTTATTATGCACCAACTCGGCGAATAATATGCGACGTTTGTATGTCGCAATTTTGTGTGTCGCGAGTCGAGAATAGAGAATTTCAAAAAAAAATAGAACTTTCGATTAGAAGAGCGAAGAGGGTATGCGAGCAATATGCGGCAATTCGCATACCCCCTCGCATAACTGAAAAATAAAAGAAATAAAAAAAAAAGAAAAAAAAACTTTCGAGTAGAAGTGCAAATGGGGTATGAGAGCAATATGCGGAAATTCGCATAACTGAAAGATGAAAGAACATAACAAATAAACTTTCTTGTAGAAATGCGAAGGGGGTATGCGAAATCGCATACCCCCCTCGCATATACCCTAAACCCTAAACCCTAAACCCTAAACCAATACTTGATTTTATATCTTATGATATAATAGTCTATTCTTTAAATTATCGTTCATAATGTATAAAATGGCCATTGTTATATTTTTTAATAAGTGGTTTTCTTTTATTGTCAATTAATTTCATATTAAACCATATTTATCTACATACCTTAACTCATAAT